ACTCACGTCTTACATCGTGCAAATTATGCTCTTTCTCAAATAAAAAACTAGATTATTCAACTGCTTTTTTACAATTGAGATGTCCACATTTCTCGTATTATTTGGGAAGCAAACAGGTGTATTAATAGTCTTACTAATTGTGTGTACCATATTCTTAAGAGTTTATACTTGCTCAAGCTTTTGTAGTCTAATTATATTTTTATTTAAATTGTTGTGACACTATTTGGGGTCGGTTAATCATCCATCTTATATAATACCTTTTTTTTTTTCCTTTTTTAGCTAAAAAATTAATATCATAATTTTATTTCACTATCTTATAAGTAAATAATAGAAATTAGTTGGTTTATTAATATTTTATTTATAAAACTCTATCAATTTACGATATTTTTTCACTCTCAATTTTTTAATCTAAAATGTAAAATGATTAATTAATAATATAAAAATTATTATTTATTTCGTAGTTTTAAAAAATTATTTATAGTGCATAAATTTATTTAAAATTATAAATATATACTTAATATACTGTGTATAAATGTTTGTTAATATATTAAATGCAAATAAATATCGCATGTTTTTTGTCCTAAAGGAAAACAAGACAGGAAAAAGGATGAGTACAAAATTTGCACAACAAACTATTCCATATGTGCCATGCAGACGAATTGCATTGAATGTGCGACTCATTCGCCATAAATAATTTATAAATACTTCTAGTCATAAAATTAATAGGAGGAAAAAAAATATTGAATCTTAATACAATATATTATATTATGTAGCTTATAAAGAATTTGATCTCATTAAACACTAACAACTGGTAATAATAGATATAAATTGGATTATATACAAATAAATTGTTACCCAATAAATTTTATAATAATAAAAATTTACTAGTTAACACAACACATAAAAAATAATAATTTTATAACAAATTATAATAAACAATCAATGTATCTATAAAGAAAACTAAAATATTAATGTTAAAAATATAATATGTGATTTGATTCATTACATTAAGTTCAACAATTACATATCTTTTCAAAATAATGAGGTTGAAATATCATAATCTATTACATATTTTATCAAAGTTATACATCATAATTAAAAATCACTACCTAAAAATTTTACAAAATTTGGGGTCATAATAGCTTAGAGTTGACATGTATTTTTATACAATTTATAATATTTTTGACTCAAGCATCACTGACCAAACAAAATTTTATACATATATGACAGGTTTTTCAAAAACTCAATATCTAATTTCCATTTGTTTTTGAAAATCTAAAATTTCCATTTGTTTTTGAATTTACATTAAATACAAATGTAATTTTTTTTTTTTAATTTTTAGATAATTTTTAATTTTCAATTGTACGATTTTAAAAAGGCAAATAAAACTATTTTATTGTTTGATGTTAATTTTAAATTAGGTGAAGAGAAAAATGTATAAATATCTTTATATATTAGTTTATGGGTTTAATCAATTTTTTTTTGAAAAGATAAGTAGCAAACCAAACTAATAAAAGCATATTAAAATAATTAGATAAAAAAAAACAAATTAAGTCAAATTAAGAAGTAGGTAAGGCTAAGTTTGGAACAATTATAAATGAAAAAATGCGTGAAATTTCTGTGACAATGACTAGAAAACAAAAAAAAAAAAATTGTAAAACTAAAATATTCTATTTTGTTTTTATTATTTTAATTTTATATGAAAAATTCCATTTTGCATTATTTTCAATATATATATATAGTTTATTAATAAGATATAATGTCAGTGGGGTAGACGATGACAAAGAATTTGATGGATTCTACGCCACACATCTCACCTACCAAAATGAGGATATTTGAAGGCCCCATCATGCCACCCACCAGAAATTAGGTAATTTCAGTGGAAACTGCTGCTCGTGGATTCTCTTATACCATTTACAAGGGTCTATTTGTGAACCTCTAAATAATTTTTAAAATGTCAAAGATAGTCCAATTAATCTCCTCATTCAATTTCAACTTTTCTGTAAAAAAAATTTGGATTTCAAAGTCCAAATATATGTATGTATACACCGCACTGCAACTCCACCTTCTTAAACGTAAATCGCCTCTGGGTTTTTATTTTTATTTTTATTTTTATTTTTTTGGTTGTTTAAGGAGATGAGAGAAACGATACCGTTTTATTAAATTTGATCAATATGTTGAGATTATGATAGCAGAAAGACAATGAGGAGGGCGTTGTTGGTCTCCGTGATAATAGTTTTATATAATGCATTTAAAATAGAAAACAGAAGAATAACATGAAAGTAAAATAATTAAAATCTACAGAGATCTAAGAATATACGATAATTAATTAATTAGTTATGGCTTTTCGTCGCGAGGTGGTGGTGGTTGGAACGGAGGCGGCGGAGCAGGAGGTCCATACTGAGAAACTGTGGCAGCTGCTTGACGTCGACCCTGGTTTCTTCCCACAAGATAGCACGTAATTGCCACTATCATTATAAACAGTATCACCGGCACCGATACCACTATTACATATCCCATCTTATATATTATATCTTCCACCTCCTCCTGCAATGCAAACGCAGACACATACTGACTCTCTCACTTTTTATACAAAACCTCAACTAATAATTCAGAGAAAGTTACGTACCTTTCTGTGATTTGCAGATGGCGGAGGTACCTGCTTGGGGTTTATTATCCTGAGAAATAAAGAGAGAAGGGGAAGTGGGTCTAATTCAATTTTATATATATATTTTTTTTCAAAAAAAAGATGAAATACAGAGAAGTGAAGCGAATGATGGCCAGACAATCTTACATCAAATAATCAAATCTCACCACGTTGCCTTGCCCTCAAGCAATAGCGTGACATGTGTTTGTTTGCATTCTTTGAATCTTCAATCTTGTTCACACCAAGTCCTGTATCTATTATTTCCACTTCATTCTATAAAAATATGAATTTCAATCTTGATCCTCCTGTATCTATTATTTAATTTTTCTGGTTTAAAATTAATTTCTCATTAATTTTTTTTTCTTTTAAATTAAAGATTCACCGTAACACGGATTATATAATGTTTACCACTATATATCCTGTCTAATTTTTATGATTAAAAAATAATATCGCCGCATAATAAATGACGGCACCATCTTTTAAGTATTTCCACGTATAAATCATATATCCATCCATTACTGATTTATGTTTTGGGCTCCGACAGTAACATACCATCCACCTCTAATTCATTTTCAAAAAGTTGATAGCTTACAAGACCATAAATACATTTTTAACACCTCACCTATTCAATAGGCTCATACAACTTCAGAATTCACAAAGAATTTATAATATCTTCTACTTGAAAAACAAGTTATAAATAATGAAGTTGAAACCTGTACGTTCCTTTGCTTTAAGTGACAGAGACAAAGTAGACCTTATCGAATAGTAGGTACGATCTCATTGGGCATTCTGAATATGTACTCGTTAAATTACCCACTTCCAGCGGTTCATATAAACGGCTGCCGTAATTCCTGCACTTTCCGGACAAAGTGAAGAATTTTTCCTTTTTTTTAAAAAAAAAAAAAAAAAAAAGATCATCTTCCAATCCAACTTCACTTGGTCGGAGCTGGATTCAGCATCATCTAATTAGCAGAATTTTGATTTTGCTTCATCTAACTCAATGGAGATCATTTGACTGAACACGTTGAAGAATAAAAACAACCGACTCAATAATTGCTATTGACCAATTTTCCACCTTTCTTCTACCTTCCTTTTCCAGAATTCCGCAGCAATTACATATCCAGTAACTTTTATCCTAGGTATACATAGCATGCATGGAAGCAGTATTTGCACCAATGACTTTTAATACACGAGTGTGACAGGAAGAGTAAGAGGAGACAAGAGTCCTCCAATGACTGAACACTCTTTGATCTAAACAGTGAGCTGCCTTCCAAAATTAAACAACTCAAATCTTCATGCCAACTTAGGCTTACCGTTAATACAAGCTATAAGCCATAAGGCGTTGCCGATGCAGAAACCTTCCGTGACCCAGATCCTTCATGGACGACTCCAACTGGTTTGTTGGACAAACGTCGCTTGTAACGCTTCAAAACTGAAGCCAGATTCTCTTTGCCTTTTGGAAAAGCCACGTCACCGGCAGCAGTACCACTTCGACCCTTTCGGCAAGATATTGCAATCTCAACATCCTTAATCATGTCTAGCAGCATAGCAGAAGTTGTGCATGTTTTTTCATAAATCTCTTGTTTCCATTACACTAGAAGTAGCTAGTTACTTTAATTAATTTACAGAAATACACCCACCTTAACCCGTGTGTTTAGATTATGTTCTTATTTATTTAATTTGCATATAGTGTTAACTGTTTACCTTTTCATTCATTAAAATTCCTTAAAGTGCCACATAAATAACTAGTTTATCTTGATTGAGTTGTTTTCAATTCTAAAGGACAACTTGAAGAAGGGAATAAAGTGATAAATAGCATGAGAGTGTGAGTTTAAAAGAAGATAAAAGTCAAAATCTTGAGTGAAAATATGAGAAGTGACAAATCTGTTTAAGAGTAAAACACTTGAGGGAGTATTGTGAGGAATTTCTTTACTAACTTTTTTTTTTTAGGTTTTACATCATGTCAAATTATGAATGTGAGAAGCGTGAAATAACCATAAATGATATAGTCTTTGTATTAGAAGTGTTGATATGAATATTTTATTTCATAAATATTGTGGTATTTTCCTATGTAATATTTTGTTTCATGAATTTCTCTCATAAAGTTGTAATTATTTAAAATCTCAACTATAAAAGTAATTTCTCTATTTGTACTTAGAAATTTTGTGTATATATATATATATATGTTATCTTTAATACCAAAGTTGTAGTGAAAAATAAAATAAATATTTTTTCCCCATATTTCAACACAGTATTAGAGTAAAATAAGAATATTTAAGGGTTTTAATTTTAGAATTTCTTTTAAACCTTAAAATATTCTCAACACTCACCCAAACGGAATCACAGCCTCACTGCTGGCCTACCACCCTTCTTCGGTGAGTGTCTCTGCCCTACCCGATCGCCTTGCTCTGACTATTGGCACACAGTGGTATCACAACAGCTGTTTCTTACTTCCTCTTCGCACCCGCCCGACCCTACCTGGATCTCTCTTGCTAGTTTTCCTTCATGCACGACTCTCTCCTTTGCACACGATTGTTCGTCTGGCCCTTCGCGTAGCAACTACTTTGTGTTTCTTTTTCGCGCATGTCTGACCCAACCCAGTTCTCTCCTTTGTGGATAGCTCTCTCCATCGCACTATCCCTTCGCGCACAACTCTCACCTTCGTGCATCAAAGATTTGGTCTTGTCCAACCTATCTGCTCTTATTTGCGCACGGCTTTTCATGCAAAAGGCTGTTTCGCACGCGGGTTTTACTGGTTTCACGGCAGGCTCCTACTGGTTTTACTTCTCAGTTCAGCCGCATGCAGGTTTTGTGATAATAAAACAGTAAGAAACGAGTATAGTTGTTCGTTCTAGTGCTAAAACAAAATATAAAATTAAGGAGTATGTGAATTATTATGGTTGCAAAAACTAACGAAAGAATTAAAATTGTTCAAAGGAAGCCTATCATTGTTTTGTGACAATAAAACAGTCATTAGTATTGCTCAAAATCTTGTTCAACATGATTAAATGAAATACATTGAAATTGATCATCACTTCATAAAAAAAAAGCAGTTGATGACTCCTTATACTTGTATCATGTGTCTTTTAGCAATTAGGTAGCAGATATATTCACTAAAAAACTTTGCAATAAAACTCTTCAGAACTTAATATGCAAGTTAAGCATGTGTAATATCTTTGCACCAACTTAAGGGAGAGTGTTGACATAAATATTTTGTTTTATAATACTATGATAGTTTTTTATATAGCTTCTACAATTAATTTCTCCGGTAATGTTGTAATTATTTAAAATACTTACTATAAAGGTAATTTGTGTATTTGTATTTCAAAATTATATATATATGTGTTTCGTCTGTAATACCATTGTAGTGAAAAATAAAGTAAATATTTTTCCTCAAATTTCTATAAAAAGCAATGCAAAGGCAGTTTGAAAAGCATAATAGGAATATAGACAACATGAAATGTGATATAAATAGCCTTCGAGGCAGACAAGGTGGTCCTAATCAAAGGAGGCAGAATAGGGGAAGAAGAAATATGTTGAATGATAACGAGATAGAAAAGGAAATAGATGAAGATAGTAAGAGTCAACAATACAATGAAGACTCGAAAGGAGGGACAACAACATTAATTCTATCAAGATGAAGATTTCTTCTTCTCAATGTAGAAATGATGGTGAAACTTATTTAGAATGGAAGCAAAAAATTGAGTTGATATTTGAATGTCATAACTGCTTTAAAGAGGAAAAGGTGAGTTGGCAACCATTGAATTTTCTGATTATGCTTTGGTTTGGTGGAATCAGTTGCTCATCTCTCGAAAGCGTAATAGAAAGGCACCCATCACTACCTGAACTTAAATGAAAACCATTATGAAGAAAATGTTTGTTTCATCATTACAAAAGAAAGCTCTATTAGAAATTACAAAGGTCTCAAGGGTCTAAATCAGTTGAAGATTATCACAAAGAAATGGAGATAACTATGATTCGAATAAATATTGATGAAGATAGAGAAGCTACCATAACACAATTTTTAAGTGGCTTGAATAGAGAAATTACCAATATAATTGAATTATATTATTATGTTGAGTTGGTGGAGATGGTTAATATGGCCATGAAAGTAGAAAAACAAATGAAAAGTAAGGGGACAACAAGGTCATATTCTAGTTCTAATAACAATTGGAATCCAAAATAGCCTAAGAAAGAGGAGAAGGTCAAGGAGAAGAGCTTTGATTCCAAGGAGAAAGGTACAAATCTCAACAAAAGCAAATATAAAGGTATCTTATCATCTTGTAAAGGTACTTTTGAATTCACATCTACTAATAAACATAAAAATATTAAATATTTCAAATGTTTGGGAGTGGAACATATTTCTTCACAATGTCCAAATAAAGTCATATTTATTAGGGACAATAGAAAGATTAAATCTGAATCTGATTCTAATTGTGATAATATGCCGCCTTTGGAATATTGTGATGATGACGCTGAGTATGATGCATATGGAGAGCAAGTCTCCTTACTCACACAAAGTTATTCTACGATCCATAACAAGATAGTAGCTCCCAACAGCATAAAAAATGTACCATCAAAAAGTTTGTCAGTTGATTACTGATAGTGACAGTTATGAAAACGTAATCTCAAAATCCCTTGTAGACCACCTATTAGTAGTCAACAGAGCCACATCATGAATTGCAGAAACTAGAAAGGATCAAGACCACCATGGTAAGCCACTATTTTTTGTATTCCTCTCACAATTAATAGAATTTTCAGAGATTTCTCTCCATATTTCCTTATAGATTTCAAGGTGTTGACTGCAGGTAAACTAGCTTATATACATGATAATTCTGCATCATTATGGCATGAGTGTTAGGCATTCATCCCATTCTACTAGATTTGCTAACAAGAACTACCTAAGATATCATCATGAAGGTTAAGTACATGTCCCTTCTTGTGATAGCTGATTAGACCAACTGCTTTTTTCTAAGGACAAGCATAACAAAGGACTATCTACAGAGGTACTAAATGTTCAACTTTGAGAATACAAGGTGAACCAGAAACGAAATTGGTAGGTCCTGCTAATATTGGTTGTCATATGGAAAGCCAAGAGGCTCTAAAAGACCCAGATGGCTGCATGGGTTTGGTTTGGGAAAGAAAATTACAATGGGAAGGTAGAATTTTTTGAAATATATATATGGAAGAGTGAATCTAGGCAAAGGGTGTTTATTAAAAAAAAAGTATAGGCAAACAGTGAGTTTTTGGTCA